AGTACATTTTGCATCTTGCAATCGTGAAATTATATATCAAAACTGCACAATTAGAATAATGCAATATTAAGTGCATAATAAAGTTACGGAATTCTTGCAAAAAAAAAGTTACGGATATGATAAAATAGTAGCTGCCTTGAAAGAAATTGAGTTCATCAAACCATACAATACGAAGAAGTATTAAATTAACTGCTTCAAATTAAACATATAAAACACAGTTATGTTTCAAAAAATTATTTGACTGCCTTCCCGATCGAATTTTTAGCTGAAATTTTTTGTGGATAAACTAGACTTGATGAGGAACATTCCATAAAAATTTCATCAAAAAACTCCACCGGGAACCGCCCTAAACGGCGGCGGCCGGACGGAGGATCCTGTCCCTCCGGCTGGACAGGATCTTTTCCGTATATATATATATATATATATATATATATATATATATATATATATATATATATATATATATATATATATATATATATATATATATATATATATATATATATATATATATATATATATATAGGGTAATGCTAAGGTAAGGTAGGCCTAAGAATCATAATTCTTAGGCCTCTTTCATTTGAGGTGCTTCTGGGTCGAATTTTTTGATGAAATTTTGTGAGCATGTTCTCCATGGATTGAAGATTATGTCTACCAAGTTTCAGAATTAAATTCAATCGTGAAGTCGTTTAAATAAATTATTGAAAAAAAACTGCATTTTATATATGTAAAAACCTGCACAATTTTGAAAAAATTATTTAACCGACTTACCGATTGAATTTTATTCTGAAATTTGGTGGGCATAGTCAACACTTCATGGAGAACATGCTCACAAAATATCATCAAAAAATATATCCCGGAAGCACCTCAAATGAAAGAGGCCTAAGAATTTCAATTCTTAGGCCTACCTTACTTGAACATTTTCCTATATATATATATATATATATATATATATATATATATATATATATATATATATATATATATATATATATATATATATATATACAGAAAAGATCAAGTCCCTCCGGAGGGACGGGAGGGACCGTCCGAACTTTACTGTTTGGGGCGGTTCCCGGTGGAATTTTTTGATGAAATTTTTTGAGCATGTTCCTCATCAAGTGTAGTTTGTCCATACCAAATTTCAGCTCAAAATTCGACCGGGAAGGCAGTCAAATAAATTCTTGAAGCTTACTGCACATTCTGCGCATATATAAAGTGCAGTAAGTTTCAAGAATTTATTTGACTGCCTTCCCGGTCGAATTGTGAGCTGAAATTTGGTATGGACAAACTAGACTTGATGAGGAACATGCTCAAAAAATTTCATCAAAAAATTCCACAGGGAACCTCCCCAAACAGTAAAGTTCGGACGGTCCCTCCCGTCCCTCCGGAGGGACCTGAGCAGTCCTATATATATATATATATATATATATATATACATACATACATACATATATATATCGGGGTGACTCATGGAAGCTTTAATTGTAGTGTTGACCTTTGGTGTTGGAGTTTTGAACCTTGAAGTTTGAAGTGGCTCAAAACTAGCTCTTGAAAAAGATAGATGGAAAGGTGTACACTTTCAAGCAAAGGTGGAAAGTGGGTTTCTTTAACTTTCCCACACCTAAACTCCTTGGGAAGTTTGAATCCTATAAATATGAACCACTCATCACTTAATATTAAAAAGTGAAGGAGAATAGGGGAGCTCTCGCGCACACAAGAATTCCGGCTTCTAGTTCAGAACCGAAGATTTTGCCCCTCTTTTCTTTCCTTTTTTTTAACTTTCTTTCTCGATACTGGACAGGACTGGTGGGTTCTCGAGATTAGCTTAACCATTTTTTTTAATTTATGGGTAAGTCGCCAAACGGTTGGGCGACTTCAGCCGGTTGGGCGACTTACCCCGACCAGGGTTAAACCCAGCAGTATATCCGTAAATACTTTTAACCCAACCCTATTTTCGTAAATACTTAATTAATTAGCATTAATACGGAAAAAAACTCTCATCTTCTGTAGCAGATGAGCTCACCCGCTACTTATCAGAGGGTCCCGCTCCAATGTCCACAATGTCCACAGATGTCCTGGAGTGGTGGAAAGTAAATGGTACTACTTGCTATCCCAGGTTGTCTCTGATGGCTCGCGACTTCTTAGCTGCACAGGCAACTGCAGTGTTACCTGAACAGCTGTTTTTCAACAAAGGTGATGAGATTGATAGGCAGCGGTTTGCTGCAGGGCATGAGACTGCTCAATCTATGCTTTGTGTGAACTCTTGGATTGAAGGGGGGTTCAAACTCAAGTACCAATCAACTGAGATTGATTTTGAGAGGTTGGTTGAACTAGCAGCAGCTGAGCATCCCTCCATGGGGTCTAGCAAGAAACACAAATGACAAGCAATGAGCAGAACTGAATTGCTACGAATTCACACAAAGACCTACAGTATCATTCCGAGCTGACCTGTAGGAAGAAAACTAACCACAAGTAGTGCTTTCTTTAGATTTATTTGTAGGATGTGTATTTTACATCATAATCATTTCTTTTTTTAATTATAAAATTATTTTGCAAGTGGGTAGCGGCTTTCATGTGTTCTGGGAGGCAGTGTTTCAATGTTCATATAATTGGTTACTAACAAAATTTCAAATAACCATTCCACTATTTAAGATCATCACTTATATTGAAAGAACATTTAATCGGGCTGTTTTGCCAGTATTTACGTCACTTTTTAACTTTGAGCAGATAAAAAAATGGCGGTGGCAATGTGGCATAGGAAAACAACAGCCTGAAACCCGGAATTTCTTGGGCCCATGTCAACCTATGTGTCATTGTCATCTGGGTGATGTTAAACTAGATTCTATTAAACGTATGTTGGCTCTATCCTTCCAAAATCAACGTGTTGACCGTGTTGCTGCTAAACTGACCTCATTCACTATCTAGCTCTCCATATACCGTATGTTTTCACATATCATACATGTATGTTCTCACATATGTATGTATGTTATAATGTAGGTATGATAGTGTATTTTCCCATGTTCCTCCACTCATCTAGTAAGACCAAAAGGTCTATCAAAGTAAAGCACACACGTATGGTTTTATACTAACATTTAAACATGTAATAAATAAGATAAAATAAAAAACGTTTCATCATTAAGAGGACATTTAATAGTTTTAAATTAAAAGGGACACTAACGTTAGAACTATAACCGGCCTGGTGTAAACATAAATAATTTGATCATTGGATTCCATTGCTTTAATATATATGGAGGAGAAAAAATGATCTTTTGAGTCATGATAAAATTTCCAACAAAAATAATTAAAGTCTTATTCATTTGAAATACCCAAAAGTTTCCAACCACTCTTATAAACAAATAAGAAAATCTTATTATAGATAATCCGCCGTTCCTTTATTTAGTTCATACGCAAATTTTAATGAATTGCTTACTTGTGCTTGAAAGAATACGATGATTTTTTTAAATACTTGTATGTGTGTATCTAGTTAATGTTCTAGGAAAAATCTTGATCAAAAACTGCACTTTCACTCGCATCTTTTTTCACTTTATTTTCTTCCTTTATAGTCCACTCTCTCCTATACAAGAAGAATGCCATTTTTTCGTCCAAAAAAGGAGAATAATACTTTCATAGGTGGGAAAAATGAGTATGATAAACCAATGATGAATATGAGAGTCATGTCATCGTACAGCATATATTTTAAATCGTTTTTTTTAGATAAAAATTCATAAATTTTATAATTTGTAATTGTAATAATGGCCTCAAAAGTCCAACCACAATCTGCTACAAAAAGCAAATACAACTTCCAAAATCATAACCAAACTCACAAACAAATATAAATTTTAAATCCTTCCAATACTATTAAATGAAATAAAATGCTATGGAGTCCAACGTCGTCTTTAATTATCAGGGAAAGAAATAGGAAAACAAAATGTAATTACATTATTTTCTTTCTGGAATTAAAGTTTTTGTTAAAAAGGAATACAGTGTATTTCTTTCATCTGGTTCGCAGACCCCCTACTAGAGAGGGACTGGTATGGGTCGGACCGGTCCATGTGGCCCGAACCGGCGGGGTTTTGGGGCGGGCTACGGGATGGGTATTTGGTGGACCGGGCCCTTTTATTTTATTTTTTGATTTTTTCGAATTGATTGGGTGCTAGTCGGGTGGGGCTGGATGGTTTGGGGTAGGAATAAATAAGAAAAAGGAAAAATTGAAAATAATAATCCCAACTATTGCCAGTCCGCTGAAAATAATCCCAACTATTGATTATTTTTGTATAATCCCAACTATATAGGCTATCCGCCAATAATGGTCCATGACCATATATTACCTCTATAAAAAGTGAATTTTAAATAGAAATTAAGCGTAAAAATTAAAAGTTGAGATTATTTATAAGGATTACTTGTTATATCTCATCTCATCCACTTTAGAAACTACAAGAATTTATTCATAGGGACCATTATTGGCGGAAGGTCCCTAAAGTTGGGATTATTCTGTAATAATCAATAGTTGGGATTATTATGAGCAGACCGCCAATAGTTGGGATTATTACTATCAATTTTTCCTAAGAAAACCCAAATTATTTAAAAAAAAACAACTACACCCAACCCGACCCGGTCCTGGAACCAACCCAGGCCGGTATTGGGTCTTCAATCCCCAAATCCAGTCCCGCCAAAATCCCGCCCTGGGACCCATCCCGACCCGGACCCTGTCCATCCCTACCCATACGCCTTGCGCTTATTATAATTGTCAATTTAATTTTATTATAAACTACTACCTCCATCGTAAAAAACTTTGCATTTCATAAATTTGGGGTATGATTTTGATTAATATAAAATATACAGAAGTTGTGGATTATAAAATTTTATGAAAGTACTTTTAATAAAGAATATTTTACATCATTTTTATATTATACTTCATAAATAATTTTCAATAAAAATAAATAGTTGATCAAAATTTTAAAGATGACAAAGTTTTTTGGGACGGAGGTAGTTATAGTATACAACAATACAACAAGAAACAATCTTTTCTTCAAAAGTTAGGATGTTTTTACTTAAACTTATTTCAGTTTTAAATCAAACAAGACTTAAACAAATTAGATCAAATTAGACTTAAACTAATCAGACCAAATTTAAACAAACCAGATTAGAGTTTAACAATTATAAAATACACATCAACCAGACAATTATCAGACCAAACTTAAACAGATAAAATCATATATAAAAAAACCTCTATCCAATTAAAAACATCCTTAGAACCCTTAATGTTGAGGTTTCCCTCTCTCTCCCTTCGATCTTCAAAATAAAAGCACTTCAGTGATATTTAGTTTTAATTAGAACTGAATTGCAATTACTGGAATTTTCATGTTAAATTGCAATGATATATATTCCGTAATCCGTATTATATAATATGGCGTTTAAGTCTTTAATCAATAGGGTATAAACTATAAAGTTCATGTACTATAAATATCCACTTTGTCGGGCACCAGAGTGGCAGAGTACAAACCGTTTTAGTATTTACTTCGTATTTATGTTCTTCACAAGATTGTTCATTCATTCTAAGATAAGTGAAAATTTGTCATTATTTTTTCTAATAACAATACATATAAATCAATAAATAAATTCCTAATAAAAAATGCTAATCAGGTAAATGGAAATGTCAAAACTAGCTCATCGTCCTATTCTATCCTATACGTATATAGTAGTGACATGTATGACTTGCCTGTTATGCACAAGTGCTACTACACACCCACCCTAGTACCCTCCCATTCAGTAATATATATCTCAGCTGAAGAGAAAAATGTATATGTGCTGGAACATAATAATACTCCGTACTATAAGAAGAGATGCTCCTTCCCGTACTCGCGAACAATCACAGGCACACTGGTGGTCGGTACCTAAATAAAAATGAATATATAAATAAAACATAAAAAATAATAATAATCATGATGATGACCGTAAAAGGCAGTTCTGTGCACATTGACGTCCCGCAAGGCAACGGTCCAAGGAAGGGTCCCGTCACAATGGTGTATTAGGATTTAGGAGTAAGGACATGTTTACTTCACCGGTTATTAAACGGTGCTTATTAAGACCCGTGTTAATAAGCGGCGCATAAAATAAACAATGTTGTAAGACCGTGTTTACTTCAAACGGTTTAAAACACCGCTTAACATTAAAATGTCCAAAATAACCCTATACATATATATACACACAAACATTCATGAACACAAGTATATAATATAATATGTGTACCCATACCCCTAACCCCTTACCCACCCTACCTTACCCCGACCCCACCCACCGCCTACCCCTACCCCCTACCCCTACCCTACCTACCTGACCCCACCCTACCTACCCGACCCCACCCTAACCTGTCCCCACCCTACCCTACCCCCGACCCCATAGGCCCCCATAGGCCCGTAGGGGTAGGGGTAAGGTAAGGTGGGGTCGGGTAGGGGTAGGGTAGGTGGGGTAAGGGTAGGGGTGGGGTGGGGTAGGGTAGGTGGGGTAAGGGTAGGGATGGGGTGGGGTCGGGGTAGGTGGGGTAAGGGTAGGGTGGGGGTCGGTTAGGTAGGGTAGGTGGGGTAGGGTGGGGGTCGGTTAGGTAGGGTAGGGGTGGGGTAAGGGTAGGGGTGGGGTGGGGTCGGGGTAGGTGGGGTAAGGGTAGGGTGGGGGTCGATTAGGTAGGGTGGGGTAGGTAGGGTGGGGTCGGGGTGGGGTAGGGTAGGGTGGGGTCGAGGTAGGGTGGGTCAGGGTAGGTGGGGTAAGGGTAGGGTGGGGTCGGGGTAGGTGGGGTTGGGGTCGAGGTGGGGCAGGGATAACAATAGGTTACGGGCAAGGGGTAAATTCGGAAACTGAAAAAGCTTAAAGTGCCGCTTAATTAATACATGGGGGTGGTATGCTTAATAAGCGGCACTTTAAGCACCTCTTTCGGTTAGTAAGCGGCTTTTTAAGCAGTGTGCGTGTTTACTTCACCTGTCTTACTAACCTAACTGTGACTTTAGCAGTGAAGTAAACACTTCCTAAGTCTTCTATGTCATTTGGGATATTAAATAGCTTTCTGGAAGCCGGGCCAATAAAGGAGAGCCACGTGTGATTTGGGATATTAAATCACTTTTTGTCCAGGTAAAAAATGGTGATATTTGTGTCCATCCAAACCCTATAACTAATATTTTTGTCATTCTTCAAATTAAACCAAAATGTGTCATTTCTGCAAGGATATGAAACATATTTAATCCATTAATTAATTGTCTAAAACTACTTGACACAGAAATACACGAGAGAAAAACAATGGCAAAGGTCACTTCAAGCTTCCAAAGGGGAAAAATCACATTTATGTATGGTGTCCCATCAGGAGTTTGATAACGATTAACCATGTCGGTTGGACAATACCAATAGTAAAAAGCAGGAAAAGTTATGCTCTGGAAGCTGTCAGTGGGAACAAAATCGCTTCATCTCAAAGAGTATGCTATTCATCACATTGGAATGTAGAAAAAGAAAAAGAAAATATGCTAAATTGATGATGATAATAATAATAAAGCCCTTACCATGCCATAATCTGTTATGATCATTGAGATGTAGTCTGAGGGAGTAGCATCGTAACTGTCAAAATCATTCAAAAGTAAGTGCATTAAGTAGCATACCAAAACATAAAAGTTTGACTCTCCTTTGAGCGTGAACCCTCAAAAACTTACACTAAATTTAAAATCTGAAGATTTTCTATATCGGTCCAATTCTTCAAATAATTGGCACCTGATCCTCTAGGAACCAGGGAAACTGCATTCGGATTCCCTGAAAGTTTTCAACATATGGATTAGCTAAGTTTTCACCGACCCTCTACACGTTAAACCAAAACATGAGAGATCAATGGGAAGGCAAAATACCTAATTCATTGCAGCAAATTGAATCAAGCATCACCCGCTTACTAAACTTATAAGCTTCACAGCAAACCAGAACAGGAACACGGAAAGCATGAGCAACCATTGAAACACAAGCACTCCCCACTTTTGAGTACACAGTACCATTAGCTAATATAGATGCTGCTCCCAGGAAAACCGTTGTGACTTCATGCATAATGTAAGAAACAGCACTTATATGAGTGTATGCACAGTTGATTCCCTTCTTCAGCAGTCTTTGAAGTAGTGCTTGGCCTTCAAACATGGGGCGAGAGTCTACTATGACAACTTGAAATTGTTTTCCAATCTCATGAGCATGTAGTATAATCATCTCAACAACAGATGATGAACTGTACGTTAGAATGACATCACCGTCCTTGATTTTTTTGACACCATGTCCTATTATTACTTTATCTGCTAAAACTATCTTCTCATTGATGAAACCATCAATGTCTGAAAACAAATTTTCCTTTACTTCTGACTCAGATAATGTGTGAGGTAATTTGGCTATACGGCCCCTTAAAAACTGAATTGCATTACCCATACTGATTGACAGTGGCCTGCATTCGTCAAAAAATGAAGCATAACTTTTGATCTTTGAAATTATATCACTTGTTGCGAATGTTTTTCCCGGGGGAAGGGAGTAGTCGTTAATAGCTTCCTTAATTGCCTGAAGCATAGCAACACACCGCGCATTACTCCCAGAAAGATCTCCAGCCAAATGTTGTACCCCAACCTGATTGATAAAGCATATCAAATTTTAAGCCAACCAATATTTGATCTGACATTGAAATAACATATAACTCAGTTCACATACAAGGTAAAAAACTAACGCGCCCTCCATCCCTTTTTGTATTCACTCTTTCCCTTTTCATCCATCCTTAATTTATGTCCTGTTTCCTTTCAAGGGAATGATTTTTTGGTTGATATTGTTTCTCTTTCTTCTAAAAAACATCAGCCACAAAATTTCTACTTTCTAAAGAAGTGTGTGATGTCAAATTAGGAGATAATAATAGAGGGACTGAGATACCACCCATGATCAGCCAGAACCTAGTGCCCAGCTCACACGGCACATATAAGTAACAATACATTATTTCCTCTGGGAAAAGGGGCACATAAGCCCTCGAACTAACCAAAAAAGTGCAAACCACCCCTTATATAGAAGGTTCTGTCCGGTCGTCGCCATTTGGGGAGGTTCCCGGTGGAATTTTTTGGTGAATTTTTTTGAGCATCTTCTTCATTAAGTCTAGTTTACCCATACCAAATTTCAGCTAAAAATAAAACCGGGAAGGCAGTCAAATGATTTTCTGAAATATACTGCGCTGTTCAACTGCATAGTTATCTTCAAAAATTCATTTTATTGCCTTCCCGATTGAATTTTTATCTGAAATTTGGTATGGGTAAACTAGACTTAATGAAGAATATGCTCAAAAAAATTCATCGAAAAATTCCACCGGGAACCTCCCCAAATGACGACGTCCGGACAGAGTCTCCTATAAAAGGGGTGATTTGCACTTTTTGGGTTAGTTCGAGGGCTTATTTGCCCCTTTTCCCTTTCCTAATATAAAAATTGAAGTTTATATTTTCGATTTCTGAATTAACAAGTTCATGCAAACCTACAGAACAAAAGTTATATGATGATATGATTCTTCTATCATCCAAAGGAGGGGAGAGGAAGTGTACCTTGTATATAGCAGGATGCATTGAATCAAGCTGGAAGAATTTTGACTCAAGATCATGAAGCTGAGTTCCATGTTCATACTGACGCAAATGCAGAAACATCTCTACTCTATTTCTAGATTCCGTTTGTTTAAGTAATGCACGTTTTTTGGCCTTTTCTACACGGCTCTTATCATCAAACTGCATGCGTGGTGCAGGAAAATCATTTTTCCTATCTTTAACCAATGTTTGGTTACTTCTTTTCTTCTCCATGGTTGATGAGGTTGACATTAGGTTGCTATCTTGCTTATGTGAACTTTGCTTCAAAACTTTTGGAGACTTTTCACATACTGAAGCTGGTGATCCCCCAGCCGCAGGTTTATTGCAAACAGCTAATATAAACAACCAAAAATTAGAAAAATCCAGGCACTTGTTATGCACAACTAGAAGAGTTGGTATTCTGTACCAACAGTCAATAGTAAATAAAACCTCAAGATTGGAATGTAGTTATAAAATAGTTCTGAAACAATCTCACAAAGTTACATTTTGGAGGGGGGGGGCAACTGTTTCTACAGCATAAAAAATTTCATTACATTTTTTGGGACATACCATTCCACCATTTACCCTCCAGTAAATCAAGTAACTGTGCAAGAAAGAGTACCCATATTCTTTTTCGATAAACCTCTTGAATTTGAGAATGGTAGACACCGAGTCCTAACTGTACCGAACACAGTGTTGCAGAAAGTGCTAATGGTGAGTGGTGACAGGTAGGTGCTTATACATGGAGTTTGGTGCCTAGACGTTCTCACATAGAGGTCTCATCAAATCATAACTCAAATAACTTCCAAAAGAATGGATTCTCAAAAAAGGGTCCAGCCACAAGGGTGTATAGGGGAAGCCTTGTCAATTTTTTACAAGAGGCGGCTCAAGCACACAACAACACTGTTACCGGTGTACTAAGGCTACCCCTCAAAATGGAATCTATATAAACAGAATAAGTGATCATTACTTGTGTCCAATAGCCATTAAAACATTGACTACTAGGTGCACATAGCAGGATAGTGATCCCCAAGAGACTTTAAAAGTCTGGTTTTGATATTTTGTCTTTGACCTAGGGATGTTCACCACCATGAGTTTAGGAGGCAACTATGAAGAGGTCGACACCACTTCGAAAAACTAAATAAGGTGGCATGGAGCTAATAGGATGTTTCTGCCAGCAACAGAGAAGCTTAATAAAAATCCATTCTTGACAGACTTCAAGGAAGCAGTTATCTCTGAGTATAAATGTGGCAACATTCTACCACTGGAAAGGGAGGAAGTGAACCTCTTGAAGCAGCTTTGGCAGCTCTTTGAGCCTCCTGGAGAGCTCTCCTTTCTGCTTTTGTAGTTTTCTCTTTTTGCTGCTTTGAGCTTTCTTGCACTTGTTTCGGCTTCTCCACTGCTTTTTGGCCACCATTGTCTGTAATTTACAATCAATAGATTTATGATTACTTATACTAAAAATACATGATTTGTCAAAATATTAAGACTTCCAAACAAGCACGAACTATACAGTGAATCATGGCCCATTCTACAAAATGCTGCTTCTACTTATCATGAATATTGATCACAATCATATTATTCATTTACAGCAAACAACCAACCAACTGCTTTTGAACTGTGTTCTCCTTACGTAATGTTCATACATGGGCAAGTAAATATTTATCTTCCCAGACTTACTAACCTAATATAACAATTTTCAAGTAAGTACTTACTACTCGGAGTAAAGGATAGACTAGCTGCATCATTCATTTTAGGCTTTGAAGTACAAATTTACAATCTAAACAGTTAAGGATTGGAAGAATCATAACTCAACTTTTCCTGGACCATATAATTGAATTAAGTTTGCTCCATAGTCCTCTCATTTTTTTCTTTCGTTGTTTCAAATTTAACAGATTTGAAAAATAATAGTCAGAAAACATTTCAGAGTAACCTCGCAAACTCCACAAATACAAGGTAGACACAGCAATCAGTATACCATTGTCAGATATTCCACCGCGCTTCGAAGTGCGGTTGGGGGCAGCCAATTCGTCGGCGGCTGTGGCCTGTTCAGAGCCGACGTTGCACAAAGCCGGGAGTAACTTCTGCGAAACTTCGGGGAGAATCCAGTTAGCCGAGTCCATGGAGAACTCACCATCTACGAGGCCGATTCCGCTAGACGTGGGTGAGCTTCCGGGCACAGTTTGGGAGGCGTCGTAGCTCCCGACAACTAACTGCCCCTCGTCCTCGCCGTCGCCCTGCGAAATCCGCATGGGAGCTGTGGCGGGAACCGGAATGCCTGCGGAATGGGAAGCAGCGTCAGAGTCTCGGAGAGGGTGAGGAACAATCATACTGGGAGACTGCAATATTGACCGTGGATCTTCGAGCGGATCAGAGTGGGGTAATTCAGGAGGTAAAAAGCCCACCCGGCGGATCATCGGGAAATTTGGCCGAGGAGCTATGCGAGGGTCCATATACAGAGCTGAGCGACGACCGGCGAGTAGGTTTTTGATTGTGGTTGAGGGGGGAAGTAGGTTTTTTGGTTGGTGACATGTGGGAATAAAAGGCGCCATAATTAACGAATGAAACAACTAATGGGCCGAACCGGAAACAGATGCTCCGTATTTACTTGCAGGTTCTTCCGCGTGCGGGGATGCAAATGCTTTCGCCATTAAACCAATCGGCATGGAGAATTTGACAATTTGTCCGAGCACAAGTGCACAACTTCAATTTTTTTGGGAAAAGTACGGAAAAATACTTTTATCAAAGTGTTAGGTTCTTTTTTCTATAGGGTCTTGTGTTTCATTCTTTATCAAAGTGATTCATGTGTTTCAATTCTGTTATCACAAGAGGGTCACGCCGTTAAAAACGTCTGAAAAAGACCGTTAAAAGTAACTCTAATTTTCAAAAGTGTCCGGAAAATTAAAAGAAAATACCAAAAGGTGCGTCTCATCAAGATGGCCTCCAAACCACCTTCGCCTTTGGATTATTTTGATATGTTTGAATTATTTTTTAAAATGATTTCGCTAATATTACTTTCCCGGTGGACTTTCCCGGTGACAAGGGTGGCTGAAAACAAAAAAGAAAGATGGTCTAGCGGTCGTCTTATTGAGGCGCACCTTCCGGTATTTTTCTTTTAATTTTTCGTGCACTTTTGAAAATTGGAGTTACTTTTAACGGTCTTTTTCAGACGTTTTTAACGGCGTGAGCCTTTTGTGATAGCGGAATTCAAACACATGAACCACTTTGATAAAGAATGAAACACATGACCTTATCTGAAAACGGACTCAACCACAAACACTTTTTCCGTACTTTTCCCTTTTTTTTTCTTCATACATAAAATACTCGTAATAGAATATAGTAGAATATACTCCGTAGTTAGGATGTTTTTACTTGGACCGTAATTTACTGGTCTGATCTGGTTTGATCTGGTCTGGTTTGAACTTGTTTGGTATGGTCAGGTAATGTTTGGTCTCTTTATATTTTTATAACTATTCAAGTCTGGTCTGATCTAATCTGAACTGGTCTGGTCTGGGACATTTATAGTCCAAGTACATCCTTTGAGGTAAAAATTACTACACCTTTCTTCCAAAAATAAGTTTTTTTGGAACAAGATGACTTATATTGATAATAAAACATTCAGCAAGGGCATAAAAGATAAAGGGGACATTTCCAGCCATCGACTCGTGAACCAGGCTGAGAACCAATCACCCTAAGCAAAGCAATTTGATTGGTTGATCCTATAGTGGGTCCAAATGAGTCTATCATGGCGAGATCAATATCCTCATCGCCCCCACCTAATGTAAGAGTCTGACAGAAAGAAAAAAAAACAGTAGTAACAAAACAAAACATGTTCTTAGCACAAAGCAGAAAAATTGAAACAGTAAACGCGTGGAAATTAAGCTGAATCCAAATAATCACGAACGGACTCCAATGCCCTCCCCTAGCTGGAAAACCCTTCAAACAGTTCGGCGGGTTGAGATGCCTGAACCCGCCCCTTCCCCGTTTTTTGGATCATCCAGGATCATGTTCTTCCTTCCATCCATCTCCCCACTAGAGTCTTCCCAAGTCCTCCTTCATTTTAGTTCCCCAATAACATCTTCCTCACCCGATTTGTCTTCAGATTCCATTCGGCCCTTGCTATCTCCTGCCAAAGAATACAGGTCATCCCTTCTCCTTAGACCCTCATTCCACTCTCCTTTCCTGCCCTATCCTTCTCGGAGTAACCACTTATTTTTCCCAAAAGCTCAAGATCTCCCCCTCCTCCTCCTGCACGCAGACCGACCCCGTACATTTTGGTTACCGCCGCCTTCTTATTCTCATAAGCCAACGAGTAGTATCTGTCAGCATGCCCTATGATTCCATAAATAAAACAAAAACTGGGCAATTTCTCATATTTAAAGTCAACTTAGTGCCCTTCTCCGTGCCCCTTTCTGAGGGTCATCCCCACCTTTAGCGGTTTCCCCACATCCAGACAAACTCTTATCTTCATATAAGGGTTCCATTTTTTCTCAAACTGGCCTGGCTTGTATCAAAACTAACAAATTTACCAATAAAATTGTCAATTCTCCTCGCAGCTCCCAAGTTCATATATAATCATAAGGAGCATCATGCACCTGAACCCAAAATTCAGTTTCATTCAAAGGAACGCGAAAAGGAACATCCCATAGTTTAAGTGTCCTAAAAATTAACAAGTTCTGCTAAAAAATCCACAGACCACCTTCCATTACAAGTTCCAAATCAAGTATATGGTACAAGTTTGAAAACAGTCCAAAAAGAATATCCTAAAATCCATAGCTTCTATCAATCCTCAAAAAGACATTTAAATTCTATTCGATGGGCACCCACTAAAAACACTATATGCCATGGAGACATGGAGTAATATGCATTCTTATCAAAAACCCGACACTTTGAATTCCCATGGATTCCATAGAGTTCTATTAGAATAAGATTACAATGCATGTTGACCCTGTTTTCATTGGTACTCCGTACTTAATAATAATTTAGAAGGTATGAGGATATTTTTGTCAATGTAAGTGAAAACACTTCCATTACTAACACTTCATTTTTTACTCTCCCAAACAAGGTAAGATTATGTTTAACACTTACACTTCCTTTCTCTTCCGGTCCCCTGCCAACACATACTAACACTTTCATTACTAACACCTCCCAACACTCCATCCAAACAGGTCGTAAGGCTCTTGGCACAAACACTTTTTATTATACAATGGAACATTTTTTAAGTGATGCCTCATTTAAATGAGTTAGTCCCATTTATGGTCACACACGGAAGTGTGGTAAAAACGTGATACCCCGTTTTGGGTACCTTTAGCATATAATTAGCTCAAAGAAATTATATTTTCATGAATAATTAGTCTAGTGCACTTGCTAATAAAAGTCTCGATTAATGTTACTTTCATTTAGTTTGCAAGGCCAGCGTACACCTTTTTAGAGGCTGTTTGACAGCATTGTTTTTTGGCTTATCAGGCTTATCAGCCAACTTTTTCACCAAACACGTAACTTTTACTTTCGCGCGCTGAGTTGTGTAATAAGCAGAAAAAGTAAGGTTGGAGTTACTTTTCTGGCTGTTTTGGCTGAAGTTACTGTAGATGACCATTTTAGCAATTTTTACATATAATTTTTTCTTTATTTTATTAATAAAATATATTTTAAAAATAATTGTTTCTTAAATCAGCAGAATCAGCCAATGCAGCCACTTCAGCCAGAACTTCAGAAATTTCAGCAGAATCAGCCAAAACAGCCGATTTTCGTGCTACCAAACGGGCTCTAATGTCCAAAATCCAGCTTCAATTCTAACTTTGAGACTTTTTATTTCAAGATTTTGTCAGGTAACAGTAATAATAGCCAAATCGGTCAAAACTATTAAAATTAATGAAACTCTCAAACAACTAAATTAGTTGATGAATTTGCTTATATGTGAACAGATTACATTTAAAATGCATTTGATTAAAAACTGAAATATATGAATCGAATGCTAAAGTTATTGTTCTTTAATACGGAGTATTTCAGTTAGAAAGAAACCCCTATTATTTTACTTAATTTTGATTTTACGTGACAACCAACATGCAAAATTAAAAAGTTTCGTTTTTTTTTTTGTAAAAAAGTTAACTGAAAAACAGAAAAATGAGGTATTATAGACTCAAACGTCTAATTCACATATAATACCCTCAAACGTCTGATTCTAGCATAATACTTTCATTTATGAATTTCTGAAAAATTCACGTAATTTAAGGATAAAATGTATAATACACATATTGTACGTATTGTTATGTATTTTATTTTAACTTAAACCAAATCAAATTCGTATATCTGAAAAAATATTATGTACATTTTAGGATGTTTTTACTTGGACTGTAATTCGTCCCAGACCAGATCAAACCAGACCAGACAAGTTCAAATTAGACCAAACCAAACTTAGATAGTTATAAAAATTCAAAGAGACCAGACATTACCAGACCAGACCAGATCAGACCAGACAGACAATCAAAGTATAGTCCAAGTAAAAACATCCTTAAACAGTTGAAAAATGTGGCGCATATGTTAAATTACTATTTACTTCTATCATGAAATTAGTATATAAGACTCGTATTATATGACGTATTTTTAAGTTGTAAATCGTTTAAAGCGTGTCTGTATCTTTATCCATTTTGCGAACGTAGGAAACATATAGTTAGCCATGTTTTATATAATTGTATCTTGTTTGATAGATTTCCGATAATTTGTTTGTGGTATTCTACTCCCTAGTGGATATTTATAGTCGCAATAAATGAGTCGGATTAAATGTACTACACGTGTAGACTATAATATGGGCAAGAGCTTTAGGGTGTGGCAGAGTTTGACGCATGTCATTCCCTAGTCGATCTCTGACCAGATGTTCCCTGTTGGCCGAGGTGCAGAGAGGTGCACCCCGGTCCCATTGATTGTATTTACTAGATGGACTTCAAGCAATCCGTGGCCAAGGCATTGGTCCACCGAGGTGATACCCAACCGGATGATTGTATGGACGCGAGTCTGTTTCTTTATTCTGGACTGGGCTTGTTTAGTGGAGCTTCAGTACTATCATGGGTTTGGGGCCTTGTGTATTCAGGAGTGTGTGGACCGTGGTGGATTAGCTCATATACTCCATCGATTTTATATACGAACATACGCACTATTGGAATCTAAAATTGAAAGAATTAACTACATATTTGAGGTGTAAATTTGAGAACGAAATGGAAGGTGGAAGGAGCTTTACTTTTGCAGTGGCTGGGAAGAAAATCAAAGAGACGAAGCAATAATAGTTCAGGAAAGATTAGAATCAGGCTGTTCAGTTTTTTTTTTAAAATTATTTTTACCGGTTGAGCAAGTCACTGGTAATCTGGACTAATTTGGGAAGGTTGCTGGTATAGTTGAGATTATTTTAGAATTACGTATATTTGGGATTAACATTAGAAGAGCTCTAATAGTTTGGATTATTGTTGTGAATTTTTCCTTAGCTAGAGAAGTTCAACCAGAAATACGTAGGAATTCATTTATCCATTTAGAGGTTTCAAAATCAATTACTTTTCAAAAAAGTGTCCCATTACTATAAAAAAAAAACTATTTAGCTAGCATTTTAGGTGGGTAACTTCTAATGAAGAGTACGACTATATATATAGAAAGACAATCAACAAACTAAAGTAGTGCTTCAGAGTAAAAGCAACAATGATTGATGTATCCACTTTTATACTCACCTTATATCCACTTTTATACCCACCTTATTTTGTTTGTGCAAAATATTGTCTGTGAACCAGGGTTCACAGATAAAAAACACTTCACAAACATAGGTGAGTACAAAAGTGGGTATAAAAGTGGGTACAAACATCATTTTTTATAAGGATATGTTTGGCAAATGACTTATAGATCGATCAACTGATTTGACCGATTAATTTTTTTTGCGAGGTGATTTGACCGATTTTAACTGTTCTATTAGTCGAAGGACTTAGGATGTTTTTACTTGGACTGTAATTTGCTGATCTGGTCTGGTAATGTCTGGTTTCTTTGTATTTTTATAACTATCCAAGTCTGGTCTGGTCTGAACTGGTCTGGTCTGGTCTGGACTGGTCTGAGACAAATTACAGTCCAAGTAAAAACATCCTTAAACCATTATGTTAGGTAAATAGTCTTTATGTTTGCAAAGTTAAAAATGTCTGGTAGAAAAAGGTAAGGAGGCAACGTTTTGTTTCTTTTCAATCGGATGTTTCAATATGGGATTGTGTATTTGTGGTGATTTTCTTTTTCCCCTCTAAATTAATCAAACACATTGGTTTGCTTTCTCTTCCTCCTTCATTCTTTTCGATTAGCCTTTTTTAAATTAATCATCTAACTAATACACGTGTGTGTGTTTGTGTATTAATAATTAATTATTTAAAAAAACATGTTTAACCAATCACTATTCAAACAAAAAATATATGCTTAACTAATACGGAGTATTTTATATTATTAGTTATGCCCTCGAGGTATTGGTTTGGTCGCTAGGGACTATATTGGGGAGTTCATAGCAGCTAGAAGCATAAAGCTGCGAGGAAAGTTTTCACCGGATACTACGGAGGCATTGGTGGTTAAGTGGGTTGTTAACTCTGGATGGCAAAGTGTATCTGTAGAATCTCATGCCAAACAGATTGTGCATGCATGGACTAGCTCATGAAGAGGGGTTACATTACCATGATGTTATTTTTAGTAATATTAGACATATATATGATGATGAATGGTGACAATATAAGTGTCCAATATGTGGGTCAGCGAATCAAGTTACCTACATTCTTGACAGGGAAGCCTGTTATGGGTATGACGGTATTTGGGATGGTCTTCCCCCTGATTGTATTTTCATGCTTTGAGGAATGACAAGTAATATAGCTATTTGATTCTAAAAAATGAATTATTTAAATCCTTGAATTAATTGTTGGGAGATCGGAAACTAGCTTCATAAAAATGAAGTTTGTATACTCCAGGGGAACGTAAATTACATCCTACAGCCGGTGTACTGTGCGCACGGCTTAACCGACTCTTTTTACGCTTCTGCAATTTGCGCTTCTCGCCCTAGCAATGGCTTCTCCGATCTTTGCTCCTGCTTTTGAACTTCTCGCATAGGACTTCGCCCCTGCTGCTTCAATCTCGCTTGATTTCTCCGATCTGATCTCGCGCACCAGGCAACTGCTCCTCTCGTCGCTCTCTTCTCCTCAAACTCTCCTGCTGCGCAAGAGACGACAACTCTTGGGGATTTCTTTGTTGGTCATTGCTGCGAGAAGAAGAATACGGGGACAACAGATTGAATGATGATTTAGGAGATTGAGTTCATACTTCTTGGTTGACAGATCTGGAATAGCTTTATATTAAACTCAAATGAGTATAAGTTTAAAAGGAATGAGCATACTCAAATTAACATTGAACATATTAAAAATGAGTTTTATGTTAACTCAAATGAGTATAAAACCAAAAATGAATGAGCATATTAAAAATGAGTTTTATGTTAAACTCAAATGAGTATAAAAAAGTAAATGAATGGGCTTACGTACACAAATGAGCTTTTGAATTTTTTGATACTCATTTTGTAAGTCATGTTTGCTCATTTGGTACCTCCTTATGCTCATTTTAAAATGTTGCACATTTCAAACGTATCGTACTATATTAGATTTACATATTAAAATGAATTGGAATTGATTACACATATAATTTAAGAGTTTTTATAAAGGAAAAAATAATAAAAAGAGTTAGCGAATAAGAAGATATGAAGCAGAAAACGTTAATGCCCATTTTTAGGCTCCTAATATTCAAAAGTACAGTCTTGATACACAACAAAATTGCGTTAATACGCATTCAAGAGAAGCCGTGTTTTTCATCAAAATTGCAAAAAATGTCACCGACTTTACGCTAGCACCGTACAACTGGTTGTACAATATACGCTTAGGGGTTATAACTACTATGATGAGATACCAAGAATAATAGAAATTTTATCAATTTAGGACCCGAAAGATAGATGAATTATAAATTCTGGAGTTGAAAGATGAAATGTATCGATATAGGATCCGAACGATGAAAAATACTCCCTCCGTATCACATATATCTTCCCACGTCCAAAGTGGGTGAGATTAAGAATAGTGAAATGAGGTATGAATTATTGATGGTATGATGGGAAGATGGTGAAATAATGTGATGGAATGAAAGATAAATCCAAAAAAAAGTAGGTGTAGTAGTGTATTATTTTTTAAATTATTGAGGGTATGATGGGAAGATTTAGAAATGGGAAGATATAAATGTTACGTCCAAAAAAGGAAAGTGGGAAGATATGAATGTTACGGAGGGAGTATCAATCTAGGACCTAATATTTCATAGGTTTTGATTTATTTCATTTTTCATTAATTCAATTGCTAATTTTTTTATAAGCTTTCCTTCACAAAAGTTTATTATTAATTTAATAAAACTAAATAATAGAGTACTAAGATCACCAGGCGATGATAAGACTTGCACTTTTGGAGATAATCCGTTCCATATCCAAGGGTATAGGGGTAGGAGTTATGTTGTGATATGTGAAATGTTGCTACTTTCAGCCGACCCCACTTAAATTTTGAGAGTATAGAGCTCTGGAATATCTTCGATTTGATATATTAATTATGACCCCCGTAACTCATTATGAGTAAAAAGTTATGACTTCGGAAATATTAGCACTATCTAAACGTAAAATCAGCAAAATTTGATTCATACTAAATATTGTTTTCCCAAATTTTAAAAATATGGTATAATTCACTCAATATTTACGTGACACGACTCAGAAACAGAGCAAAACCTATCTATCTAAATTGCATATGAAATATTCAACTCGAACAATGTTGAAAAATGATCCACCGTTTTCATTTTGTATATAGGTTGAGTTTCGACCCTCCCGAACCATTTTTTTGACTCCGCGCGCCACTGGTTGTAATAAGTTTTTTTTCTTTAAATGTTACTACGTACTAATAACAAAGTCATGAACAAAATGTGACCATGTAACTATTAGTGACTATAAACGTGCTCAAAATTATATGTAAACATACGATGTGAGTTTTGAACACAATTATAATTATTAATAATTATTAATTCACATTCGTTCCTCCGTTTTCCCCGGAGTAATATTAGTGAATTCTTTGCTTTTAAATATTTGCAGTAATTAAAATAATGCTTATGAATAAAAATGTGACTAAAATGACTATGGACATACTTCTCTTTACTAGCATACTTCATATAATATTTGAACATGATTACAGTTATTTAGTCACACTTTTGTCCACTACTCATATTTTGATAATATATTTGAAATAATTTCATACTCCCTCTCTCCCAAATTGAATTTCAAATAAATTCATTGTATTCGTTTAATTAGGATATCCATTCTTAATTAAATTTTGATTTTGATTTTGAAACTTTATAGAGATGTTAATGTAGTTTTTGAATATGTTAACTTAATTATTAAAATTGAATATCAATGGAAAGAATTTAACTCCAACATTGGTTGATAAAAAAATGTAGACCAAAACAATTTGTGATGGAGGTAATATTATTGTATAGGGAAAAATAATTAAAATATCCAAACTTTGAAGAGGTGTGAGATGAGCACCCCAAACTTGCATATGTAATTTATATATCTCAAAAATTATATATATATATATATATATATAGGAAATCTTTCCGGTAAGGTATACCTTACCGGAAAGGCCGTGCGGCCTCCACGGTTTGAGGGCCTTCCCGGTGGAATTTTTCGATGAATTTTTTTGAGCATGTTTGTCATCAAGTCTAGTACATCCATACCAAATTTCAGCAAACAATTCAATCGGGAAGGCAGCGAAACGATTTTTGGAAGATAACTGCGTTTAATATGTATATAAAGGGTGCAGTTATCTTCCAAAAATCATTTGACTGCCTTCCCGATTGAATTTTTTGCTGAAATTTGGTATGGATGTCCTAGACTTGATGAAGAACATGCTCAAAAAAATTCATCGAAAAATTCCACCGGGAAGGCCCTCAAAACGTGGAGGCCGCACGGAGGCTCCGGTAAGGTATACCTTACCGGAAGAGTTCCCATATATATATATATATATATATATATATATATATATATATATATATAAGTATTTTAACACCATAGCCAATTATTATTTCTTTCAAAAATGTAAATTTATGGTGTTAATTTCATAATTTAAAATATTTTAGAATTTATGAATACACAATTAACATTCTAAACTTCCATTGAGAAATAAATAATGTTACTCCCAATCTATATAATTACAACACTTTTAATTTTCTATTTTAAATTATACAATTAATCCCATAAAGTTACATTTTTTAAATAAATAAATAATAACAATAATGCAAAAATAATTTCTTATATAAAGTTCGAGAAATTTAGCTCACTTCCTTCAAAATTTGAAAATTTGAAGTATTTTATTATTGTACACACAATAAATTATGTGCACACGCCATAAATAATGACCACATAAATAACACAAAAAGTAGCATAAATCGTTAAATCAAAGATCTAGACCGGCCCAAAAGTAAAAAAATCCTAGAAAAAGAACCTGAAAGACTAAAATCTAGAACCATTGCAACTACTGGCCGCCGGGAAGATGACCAGCCGGCGACACTATACATCAACTTCCGTCTCTGTCTCTATTATACTTTGGCAGACTTTAGAAGAAAACCTGGCAAAGGACTGGCTCGAGGCGATCTCATCGGCAGATCGGGAAGTCGCTTCCCATTGCAGTCGTAGTAAATCACGCCCGGGAAATCCAACGGCTGGCATCTGTCGCCCATCAAAATCTCCCTCCGCCACAGCCCGCCTTCGCCGGGATCTTGAGCTTCCTTATCAGCGTCATCCCTCGCCTTCTTCCGGCGGTTGACGGATTTGGTGCTCATCCTCGCCGGAAAATTCTTCGGCTTCCTGAGCCGCAGCTTAGATAAGCCGCTCCTCATCGCGAGCTTCTTCTTCACCCTGATCACGAAAGTATTAATCGATTCGAGGACGGAAACGCCTTGCCTCTTCGGCGGAGCACCGCCAGCGGCGCTGCCGGAGCGGCTAGGGGTCGGCGGAGTAGAAAGGGTTGCCATATCGTTGTGGTCAGGCCGATAGTAGTGGCGATTCACTGATTCGGTTGGCAGAGGATGCGGTAATGTGTGTATATATAGACGTTACAAAAGTGGGGCCGTGCAAAGGAACGGAAATAACAGCTCATCATGGGGTTTTATTTAAGAAATTGCCGAATAAGAGTAAAAACATTTCTAATTCCAGTAAAGTACCATGTCGATCTTGAGCGGAAGCGGGGCACCAGACCGGACTGAATCGACAAAAAATATTTTAAAAAAAAAAAATTACATAGAATATTTTCAATTTAGAGTGAGATCGACATGGACTAAGTTGGCCCTCCTAGATCTCACTCATATTTTTAGTTTAGAGCGAGATGACATTATTGTAATAATCTCAAAGAATATGTCACATACATGTCGAATCTCATCTTTGTTCGGAAATGTTAGAGCATCTCCAATGCTACAATGTGCACGGTGCACATGTGGCATGAGAGAGATAGACACAAAAAATTGAATTTATGACATTTCTCTTTCATTCTTTCCACGGTTTTATGTGTTTTTGGTAAGTTTTCCTCTGTAATGTCAAGCACAATGTCTACATCTAGACATTGTGCTTGACATTGTGAAGAAAAACTTACCAAAATGATACAAGATCCTTCAAATAAGGAGAGAGATATTCTATTTACTATTTTTTAATTGGCTATCTCTCATGCCACGTATGCACCGTTCACGTTTTAGCATTGGAGATGCTCTTAACCTTAACATACGTAGTAAAACATATTCTATAATAGATTATAAAACACAACAAAACAATGTTTCTAAATTCCAAAATATGACTATCACTCTTTTATTCATCAAATAAAAGTAATTATAATATAACTATATTTTGGCATTACTAGATTTTAAACATGACAATGATTTGTCAATTTAACAATAATTACTCTTATTTATGAAATATAATGCGACAATTCTATTTTGGAATTCTTAAACATTTTTACTCCTTTTGTGAGAATTTTCCTTTTTTAGAAACAACATTCTTTGCCTTGATTTATCTGTTTATGTCTCTCTTTTTACGGTATGAGATTAATTACATTTACTCTCTACTTTTGCTAGGATTTAGATTTTCTGTTGGATGGATAGACACAACATGCATGGAGTAACATTTCCCAGATAATAATTAAGGTTTTTACTCACTACGATTATTATTTTTGAAAATTCATTACCATAATTTTAAAAATACAAAAAGAATCATATATACATAAATCTAGCAATTCAAATTGCTCTCGAGCTAACTAACAACACACTTTGGATTATTGGAGGGGATTAAAAATCAAAGATTATGAAACATAGATTGTTTAACATAATGAAAATATCATAAAAGTAGCTAGGTAGAATTGTAGAAATGAAAATGCCCAAAGCATCTCTCGCTATCTAGCAAAATCACAACCACTTTTTATTTAGATACATACATTTTGATAATAAAAATACTCCGTAGTTTAATTTGAAAAATATATACTTTTTGTTTGGATGAGGGTATGAGATACTATCGTATAATTTTGAATTTTACATGACAATTCAAAGTAGATAAAAATAACTCAAATAAGTCAAATTCTATGATATCCTTTCAGTACAATACCTTTTCGATGGATGAATTAAGTTATTGAAATCGATCGAGTTATTTTAAAAAATGATGAACTAATATTTGGATCAATCAATTGTATAGGCGGTACCGTGCCACTCACCTAGAAGTTGATGAACAATAATCGTAAATCACAAAAATCTTACTTCTCCCAAATAGATAAAATTTTGTTGAATGTTTTATACTACGTATATAATTAAAATCTAAATATCATCAACAACACGTTATTAAAAAAAATATTCTCACAAACAGTTGAGATGTAGGTTTCCCGAACCTGCACTTATGCTCCAGTACAATTTGTAGGTAAAAAAATAGTCATTTTAGACAATTGAGTTGGCTGATCAGTTTATTTTGTGAAGAGCAGGCTTTATTTGTGGTAATTTTGATCAAGAATTAACCTGATCAAGTAATCAGATCTAAATTAAAGTCAACACAGAACCAACATCCGTAAATTCATTCCATGTTGTTTCGATCTGGTCAGTGTTGACCTAAAAATACAATCTACTATCGTGATGAAACTTCATGTCAGGCCGGCCTGACGGGCTGCCCCGTCCGGCCGAGCCCGTTTGGGTACCTTCCCGGTGAAATTTTTTGATGAAATTTTTTGAGCATGTTCTCATCAAGTCTAGTTTGTCCATACCAAATTTCAGCTCAAAATTCGATCGGGAAGGTCGTCAAATGATTTTTGCAAGTTAACTGGTCCGGAAAATACATATTCCAGACCAGTTAAGTTGCAAAAATCATTTGACGACCTTCCCGATCGAATTTTGAGCTGAAATTTGGTATGGACAAACTAGACTTGATGAGGAACATGCTCAAAAAATTTCATCAAAAAATTCTACCGGGAAGGTGCCCAAATGGGCTCGGCCGGACGGAGCATCCCGTCAGGCCGGCCTGATGAGAAGAGCACTCCTACTATCGTATATAAGTATTATATATTGAGTGAAACAAACAAAAAAACTAGCCAACCAAGCATTCCAGCTCAGCTTATTGTGAGGTTATCGTGCCTATGTGGAGGTCTCGTGTTCGAATCCCGCTAGAGTAAAAAAAACATTAGTTAAAAAAACAAAAAAAAAACAAAAACCTAGCCTTCCTAATTAAAAAATAATAATATCTGTCGAAAACACACTCTACTGGCCTCATAAACGAGTTGTATTTAAATTTTGATCTTTTCCACATTAAATTTTGTAAGTGGTAACTTGAATTACAGGTCTTTGGAACATGATATTCTACTACGTTATTGGTTTTAGAATGTGATACGGAGCATATAAATATGCCAAAGTTTTGGATCTCTTAGTTTGTATTACACTTCTGTTAGTCAAAGGGGTTTAAACAAACAAAGAAAAAACATATTTTCCCAATTCGATTTTAGATTTTACTACACCTATCACATTTTATGTATAATATTCAAATATTGTATAATACTTGTACATATTTATTTCCTAAAAATGAAATATGACACTTATTTTGAGATAAGAAAGACGGATCGTTTTTTCAATTACCATTTTCGTCCTTTTACCAATTTCCGTGTCTTCCGGATCCATAACGGGGAGAAGGTTGTTTTTTGGTTATCTAAATTAAACACGGATCATTTTTTTTTTTTGCAATTACCACTTGACTTTAAAGTTCTTGACCACGGAGTATCCTCTCAAAAGATAAAAACAAAATGTGTTGTAAATGTCGAGTGGATTGATCATTGTGTATAATAATGGTGTATACTTGATGTGCTGAATAATAATAGTTTAAATTTAATAAACTAAACGATTTGAGATCGTGTTCTTGGCTTGCTCATGCGTAATCTCATTCAATGACATATCAATGCATTCCTTCATAACATGATGGGTTTATACTTTATATAGCTAAGGAAAGAATTGACTCGACATATGACTTCACTAAAATTGGTATCATGGATGTTTTCAAGTTTCGAAATCTAAACCAGCTCATATCATATACCTAAATTAATTTTCAACTTTTTTTATATAATTGACATAAAAAATGGCCATTTATTTTTAAAAATCCAGATACAAATCATATCATATAAAAAAGATCCAGATCAGATCAGAAATAATCAGATCATAATAGATCATAAAATTTAGATAAGATGTGATTAGATAAATTAGAAACATTCAGATCAAATCATATTTTGAAAAATTCAAATCAAGACTAGCTGATTAAAATTTTTAAATTCAAATCACGAACGAAACAATTACTAAATTGGAAAATGATGATCGAGAATTGGTTAAATTTTCAATTTTCACCCAGAAGTGAAAGAAAGTGGATGACAAAGTGGGGTAAAGTTGAGAAAATATTAACATTTCCTATACTATTATGTGGCATTTGATATGCCTCAATCATTATCAAAAAATAATGAAAAAATTATTTGTACACAATTTTTTGTACACCAAGTATACATGTTGGTCAACAGACTACTTTTTATCGATAAATAACCTGTTCACAAACAAAATATATTTATTGGTGTTTTATGTTTACTAACACGTGTACTACAAAAAGTGTGTATAACAAGTTCCATTATTCTTTACCCTATACTCTTATTTTGAAACAGGTTTGTCATTTTAGTGGGCCATTAATGAGTAAAGTTGATCACATGATACCCGTGTGGCGCATAAATATGGTCAAATTATCAAACCGTTGGGTCCACGTCTGATCTATCCCCGTAAATCCGTAATTATGAGGTGTTATAGTGTGGACTCCATTGAGAGTTGACTTTAAATGTTAATTACCGTAGTTGTTTTGGTGTTCTCCCACTCAAGCTAAGTCTGGGTGGAGGGCTGCCATACATTGCCAAGTTGCCAACCAGTGCCATTCAGAAGGTTGAACTGGAGACCTTTGTGGAGATTGATCTGAACCAAAACAGTTCTTATGGAAATTCGGCTTTTACTATTAATAAATATGTTTGGGATCAGCTCAATTCAAACCAGATTAAATCAGTTCAGATTCAAATAAAGTTGATCAGATCAGATCAGATTTTCACAGATATAAAATACGCATATAGCATATATACAATTACTAGATCATTAGAGATCATACATGACTATATCATACTTAAATAGATTAGACCACACTACATCAGATGGGATAAAAAATCAACCCCATTAAAAACATCTTAAATGCTCTATTTAGTGTGACATTTATTTTCAAATAGAATATCCAAAAGGGGTAATTTGAGTTTGCACCTCATATTATTGTCTAAATTGAACTTTGCACCCCGTTTTAACAAAACTTTGTTTTTGCCCCCCAACCCTATATGAAAAGACAAAAATGCCCCCAAATCAAGAATATGTTGAAGGTCAACAAAATTGTTAATGGAGGAGCATTTTTGTTTTTTCATATGAGGTTGGGGTGCAAAAACAAAGATTTTTTAAAATGGAATGCAAAGCCCAATATAGACAATAATATGGGGTGCAAA